CTCACACCGCAACAAGCTCTCACACCGCAACAAGCTCTCACACCGCAACAAGCTCTCACACCGCAACATGCTCTCAACCGGCAACATGCTCTCCCCACCCCAGCATGCTCTCACACCGCAACATGCTCTCACACCGCAACAAGCTCTCACACCGCAACATCCTCTCACACCGCAACAAGCTCTCACACCGCAACATCCTCTCACACCGCAACATGCTCTCACACCGCAACATCCTCTCACACCGCAACATGCTCTCACACCGCAACATGCTCTCACACCGCAACATGCTCCCATGCGCAAACACACTCACGCTGACCTCTGTCATGATCACTGATGGAAACATTAAGAACCTCGCAACACAGGTCCAGAGCGGCGTCTACCTTCTCATATGTTTTGAGTTCCCAGGCTGCCTTCCTGTGACAGTGGCTTCCATGAATGTGAAGTGAGGAGGTTAGCTAGGAGTGGCCCGGAGTGGTGGTCGGGCAAGGCTTGCTCCAACCTCCTGCCCAGTTCAACCTCTCAGGTACTGACTGACTCAGGATAAAAACTTGTGCACCAATTATCTCATAGTTTGAATATTTCAAGGTAATGTCTTGGTGTTCGCAAGACCGGTCTCATCATGTGTTTGACTTCTAGGTAATGTCTTGGTGTTGTTAAAACCAGTCTTGGAATGTAGTCGATTTCAAGGCCTTGGCATTCATAAGGTCTTGGTGTTGCTTAAGCTATAATAATAATAATAATAATAATAATAATAATAATAATAATAATAATAATAATAATAATAATAATAATAATAATAATAATAATAATAATAATTATTATTATTATTATTATTATTATTATTTCTACAAATACATGATACAGCTTATACAAACCACAGCTGACATCAATGACATACTATATAAAAAGCCCCTGGTTTTGCAGAGCATTTCGGGCAAGAGTTAATTTTGACCCCAGGTTGCGACCCACGTCAGTCAGTTAACACCCAGGTACCTATTTTACTGCTAGGTGCTTAACTTCAAGGTTTTGCTGTTGTTAAGACAAGTCTTATCATGTGTGTCTTTGTATTAAAGAAAATGTTTTACCACTCCCTGTTTGTCTTCATTCAATTCATTCATTTGTCAAAGACAATGGCTATTATATCACAATCAAAGCATTTATTTGGCTTGGCAGATTTTAAAATACTCCCAATACTTGCAATCAATTCCTGGCCTAATGTACCCTATCATGCCTGCTCCTAAAATTGTGTATAAGGATCCGCCTCCACAATTTCCTTAGCATGATCTTTCTGCTTCCTAACATAATCTGCCTGAAAAAGCAGTCTGACATCATGGGGTTATTTGGTTAATGTGCGCCTCCGAAATTATACTACCCCTCAGGTGTTGCCCTTCCCTCAGTCTGTAATCCATATTTGTTTTTCTCTCTCTCTCTCTCTCTCTCTCTCTCTCTCTCTCTCTCTCTCTCTCTCTCTCTCTCTCTCTCTCTCTCTCTCTCTCTCTCTCTCTCTCTCTCTCTCTCTCTCTCTCTCTCTCTCTCTCTCTCTCTCTCTCACCCTGATTTTCATAGCCTTGCACCTGTTGGGGGACACTTGCCTGGTCATTCTTGCTTTATCTCCAGCATTTTTCTTGCAGCATTTTTCTTACTTCTCCGGTATTCATTCTCGTCAGCTTTAGGTCGTCTGCAAACAGGGATACATAAAATGAAGTCTCTTGAGCCATGCCGTTTATGCATATCATGGACAGTAAGTAAATTTATTTAGGCACAGGTACACTTAAGTACAATTATCATACATAGTGTAAATTACCTAGGAAACCCTAAAAAAATCAAAATAACTCATTTCCAATGGGGTCCTTGTACCAGTTCCACTAGGGAACTTTGTGGGATAATATCACTTGATCATCCCGACCTTCGCTCTGTCTCGTGCTCAGGTATTCATTAATCCGGTAAAGTTTATTTCCAGTTATCCTTACCTGTTCTTTTAGTTCGTGAAATAGTCACTACGGGGAATAGTGTCAAATGCCTTCTTATAGTCCAAAAATTTGCAATCCACGCATCCCTCCCTCCCTCTCTCTCTTGCTGTGTCTCTGACATGCTAACATGTACATGACTTCATATGCCGCTCCCACTTGGTCTTCTGCTGCTATGTGGGGAATTACTGAATAACACCACAACTACACTCAGTCCTTTAATTATGATGATACCAGCAATGTGATCAGTGTCATCATTGTTAAGCATCTTTCTCATTTCCCCGTAATTCTGCTTGTTCCTTATCAGTAATGCCACTTCTCTGGCTCCGTTTCTTTATTCATTAGTATTTGGTATTGTGGTGGTAACATTAGTAAGTTTGTTCAGATACACAGCGTTACATAGATATCATACATAACAGCATATGTGTACAGATTAGATTTTGCCACCGAAATGGCTAGTTTATTGTGCACCCCATATCCATCCTGTGAACGGTAGCGCAAGAGCATATGGATACACAAAAGGCCGGGAACTAGGCCCCAAAAGGATTAACAGGATTACATTTGGATTTATATCTATATATCTTTAATTCACTTATCTGTTACAAGCAAATTCAGGAAATTTGCTTAATATATCTGGTATCTTATTTTCATTAATATGATATCTTGAAATGTTACATAGGTTATTATACTGTCTATCTCTGTATTTCTCAACAAGTGGACAATTAAGCACATAGTGTTCAAGGCAGTGACCATATGCCTGATCACATAATTTACATTTAGTTTGATCATCATCTGTGTGTCTCCCAAACTGCCAGAAGTACTTGTAACCAAGCCTAAGCCTGGCTACTACAACATCAGTCAGTACTTGCAACCAAGCCTAAGCCTGGCCACTACAGCATCAGTCAGCCGGGCTGTGGCTCGTACGTTGATTTGCGTGCAGCCAGCAGTAACAGCCTGGTCGATCAGGCTCTGATCCACCAGGAGGTCTGGTCACAGACCGGGCCGCGGGGTCGTTGACCCCCGGAACTCTCTCCAGGTAAACTCCAGGTAAGCCTAAGCCTGGCCACTACAACATCATACTTGTAACCAAGCCTAAGTCTGGCCACTACAACATCAGTCAGTACTTGTAACCAAGCCTAAGTCTGGCCACTACAACATCAGTCAGTACTTGTAACCAAGCCTAAGTCTGGCCACTACAACATCAGTCAGTACTTGTAACCAAGCCTAAGTCTGGCCACTACAACATCAGTCAGTACTTGTAACCAAGCCTAAGTCTGGCCACTACAACATCAGTCAGTACTTGTAACCAAGCCTAAGTCTGGCCACTACAACATCAGTCAGTACTTGTAACCAAGCCTAAGTCTGGCCACTACAACATCAGTCAGTACTTGTAACCAAGCCTAAGTCTGGCCACTACAACATCAGTCAGTACTTGTAACCAAGCCTAAGTCTGGCCACTACAACATCAGTCAGTACTTGTAACCAAGCCTAAGTCTGGCCACTACAACATCAGTCAGTGTTCACATTGCAAGCTGCTCCATAAACTTACTTACCTATGTTCATGTTATCATAGTGGGTTATAGATCTACTCAGGCTACAAAAAAGTCGAAGTGACTTATTTCCACCGGGATCCTTTTGTTACCTTATCAATAATATTTCATTAATATAAAAAAATCAAATGTGGCAGATAAGAAATTATATAAAAATGAAATATTTTTTTTAGTATACCATCTGTCTCAGTATGCCAGACTCTGATCCTTTTCTTACTGTGCTGCTTCCTTGTGTGATACGTTGTTCCCACTCGTACAGAGGGAATGGAAAGTGGGCAGATTTCTATTCCAGACCCGCCCACTGGGTGGGTCTCCAGTGGCTGGGTGTTGGTGATCTAATACTGGGAGCATGAGGAGTGGATTGATGGAAGTGGACTGAGAAGGAATGGAGAGTAGTGGAATGGAAGGATGAAGGGACGTAGAATGGAGGTAGTTGGAATAGAGGTAAATGAAGTAGATGGATGTAGTTTTAGTGGGAGGTGAAGTGGAGGGGGGTGGTGGGATGGAGGGAAGCAGAGGGTAGAAGTATGATTCAAGGTGGAGGGATGGAGGAAGGTGGAAGAATGGAGGTAGGTGAAGGGATGGAGGGAAGTGGAGAGATGGAGGGAGGTGGAGGGAGGTGGAGGAATGGAGGGAGGTAGAGGAATGGAGGGAGGTGGAAGGATGGAGGGAGATGGAGGAAGATGGAGGGATGGAGGGAGATGGAGGAATGGAGGGATGGAGGGAGGTGGAGGGATGGAGGGAGGTGGAGGGATGGAGGGAGGTGGAGGGAGGTGGAGGGAGGTGGAGGGAGGTGGAGGGGTGGAGGGATGGAGGGAGGTGGAGGAAGATGGAGAGATGGAGGGAGGTGGAGGAATGGAGTGAGGTGGAGGGATGGAGGGAGGTGGAGGGATGGAGGGAGGTGGAAGAATGGAGTAAGGTGGAGGGATGGAGGGAGGTCGAGGAATGGAGGGAGGGGATGGAGGGATGGAGGGAGGTGGAGGGAGGTGGAGGGAGGGTGGAGGGATGGAGGGAGGTGGAGGAAGATGGATGAGATGGAGGGAGGTGGAGGAATGGAGGTGAGGTGGAGGGATGGAGGGAGGTGGAGGGGTGGAGTGAGGTGGAGGAATGGAGGGAGGTGGAGTAGAGGTGGGATGGGAGGTGGAGTGAGGTGAGGATGGAGTGAGGTGGAGGAGTGGAGTGAGGTGGAGGGATGGAGGGAGGTGGAGGAGATGGGGAGATATGGAGGGAGGTGGAGGAATGGAGTGAGGTGGAGAGGAGTGGAGGGAGGTGGAGGGATGGAGGAGAGGTTGAGGGATGGAGTGAGGTGGAGGGGTGGAGTGAGGTGGATGGGATGGAGGGATGGTGGAGGGTGGAGTGAGGTTGAGGGATGGAGTGAGGTGGAGGGATGGAGTGAGGTGGAGGGAGGGAGTGAGGTTGGAGGGAGGGAGGGAGGTGGAGGGGTGGAGTGAGGTTGAGGGATGGAGTGAGGTGGAGGGATGGAGGGAGGTGGAGGGGTGGCCTGGCCTGGTCGCCGCTAGATGGCTCCACTATAACATGTGTTGTCAACATCACTCTGCAAGATGTGATGAAGGACCACATACCTTGTGAGTTACCATCTCTCCGCCTTGTCTCACACCTCACTGCAGGTATCCCACCTCAGGGATACCACAGCAGATCTCCTACCACCCATATAGCCATGTATATATGTTGTGCTAAGGCTATATATGAGGATAAACGAGATCACTCAGAGGTCTCCCACCTCAGAATGCATCACCACAGCTCTCAATACGCCGTATATACCACTGATTTACGCATATATGGGCATATATACGTGTAATGTGGGGATGTAGCTAGCTGTTGATACCTAGTGACCAGAGTGATAGGTCACATTGAAGTAATATACGTCACCAGTCACAGGAGGTCAATGATCATATTAACCATTGATGACCTCGGTGTGTGTTAAGATGACCTCTCCAGGGAGGTTCCTTGGTGCTGGTGAGGGGCTCTTGGTCTGGGGAATTGGATCTGTGCTCCAGTTCCCAGAACTGAGCCTGAGTACCAATGTTAAGTCACCTAGATTCTGTACACATGCTGCTATACCTGGAGTTTACCTGGAGAGAGTTCCGGGGGTCAACGCCTCCGCGGCCCGGTCTGTGACCAGGCCTCCTGGTGGATCAGAGCCTGATCAACCAGGCTGCTGCTGCTGGCTGCATGCAAACCAACGTACGAGCCACAGCCCGGCTGGTCAGGAACCGACTTTAGGTGCTTGTCCAGTGCCAGCTTGAAGACTGCCAGGGGTCTGTTGGTAATCCCCCTTATGTATGCTGGGAGGTATTGAACAGTCTCGGGCCCCTGACACTTATTGTATGGTCTCTTAAACGTGCTAGTGCACACCTGCTTTTCATTGGGGGGATGTTGCATCGTTTGCCAAGTTTTTTGCTTTTGCAGTGAGTGATTTCATGTGCATGTTCGGTATAGTCCCTCTAGGATTTTCCAGGTGTATATAATCATGTATCTCTCCCGCCTGCGTTCCAGGGAATACAGGTTCAGGAACCTCAAGCGCTCCCAGTAATTGAGGTGTTTTATCTCCGTTATGCGCGCCGTGAAGGTTCTCTGTACATTTTCTAGGTCAGCAATTTCACCTGCCTTGAAAGGTGCTGTTAGTGTGCAGCAATATTCCAGCCTAGATAGAACAAGTGACCTGAAGAGTGTCATCATGGGCTTGGTATCCCTAGTTGCCAAGCCCATGATGGCACTTCCAGTAATTATGTAACTATTTGTGAATACCTGAATAAACTTACCATCCATCCTTCCCCCCTCCCCACAGGCGCTTTATAATCCTTACGGCTTTAGCTCTCCCATAATACATATGTTAAGATTTGTTGGAATTTTTAGCCTAAGATGCGGAGGGTTAGTCACCAAGGATAACTCAGGGTAGAGAGGGTTAGCCACCCAGGATAACCCAGGGTAGAGAGGGTTAGCCACCCAGAATAACCAAGGGTAGGGAGGGTTAGCCACCCATGATAACCAAAGGTAGGGAGGGTTAGTCACCCGGGATAACCCAGGGTAGGGAGGGTTAGCCACCCAGGATAACCAAGGGTAGAGAGGGTTAGCCACCCAGGATAACCAAGGGTAGGGAGGGTTACCCACCCAGGATAACCAAGGGTAGAGAGGATTAGCCACCCAGGATAACCAAGGGTAGGGAGGTTTGGTCACCCAGGATAACCAAGGGTAGGGAGGTTTGGTCACCCAGGATAACCAAGGGTAGAGAGGGTTAGCCACCCAGGATAACCAAGGGTAGGGAGGGTTAGCCACCCAGGATAACCAAGGGTAGGGAGGGTTAGCCACCCAGGATAACCCAGGATAGGGAGGGTTAGCCACCCAGGATAACTCAGGGTAGGGAGGGTTAGCCACCCAGGGTAACCAAGGGTAGGGAGGGTTAGTCACCCAGGATAACCCAGGGTAGGGATGGTTAGCCACCCAGGATAAACAAGGGTAGTGAGGGTTAGTCACCCAGGATAACCCAGGGTAGGGAGGGTTAGCCACCCATGATAACCAAGGGGAGGGAGGGTTAGCCACCCAGGATAACCAAGGGTAGGGAGGGTTAGACACCCAGGATAATCAAGGGTAGGGAGGGTTAGTCACTCAGGATAACCCAGGGTAGAGAGGGTTAGCCACCCAGGATAACCCAGGGTAGGGATGGTTAGCCACCCTGATTAACCCAGGGTAGGGAGGGTTAGCCACCCAGGATAACCCAGGGTAGGGAGGGTTAGTCACCCAGGGTAGGGAGAGCTAGCCACCCAGGATAACCCAGGGTAGGGATGGTTAGCCACCCTGAATAACCCAGGGTAGGGAGGGTTAGCCACCCAGGATAACCCAGGGTAGGGAGGGTTAGCCACCAAGGATAACTCAGGGTAGGGAGGGTTAGCCACCCAGGATATCCAAGGGTAGGGTGGGTTAGCCACCCAAGATAACCCAGGGTAGAGAGAGTTAGCAACCCAGGATAACCCAGGGTAGGGAGGGTTAGCCACCCAGGATAACCAAGGGTAGGGAGGGTTAGTCACCCAGGATAACCCAGGGTAAGGTGGGTTAGTCACCCAGGATAACCCAAGAAAATTATGGGTCATCGAGGACTATCAGTCATATTTCCATTGTGGTCCTTCAGTCTTGTCCTCCAGGATGCAACCCACACCAACCAACTAACACCCAGGTACCTACTTACTGCTAGATGAACAGTGAGTGCAGGTATAAGGAAACATGTTAAACATTTTCACCCTTGTTGGGGACTGAACCTGGACACTCAGTATCTGAGGCAAGTGCATTGCCAACTGAGCCATAATTTATCTGGCACCTCAGCACTGTATGACCCTTTCAGGTTTAGTACTTATCTTCATTATACTAATAATAATTATCACATGTCAGTGTTAATTAGGTGATGATGTACTTTTATAAGTGATGTATTTTGGCCAGTACAGTGGACCCCCGCATAACGATATTAATCTGTTCCTGAGAGCTCATTGTTATGCGAAATTATCGTTATGCAGATGAATTTTCCCCATAAGAAATAATGGAAATCAAATTAATCCGTGCAAGACACCCCAAAGTATAAAAAAAAAAAATTTTACCACATGAAATATTAATTTTAATACACACAAACTGAAAAAGACATGCACAGTTACGTGACACTTACCTTTATTGAAGATCTGGTGATGATTGATGGGATGGGAGGAGGAGAGAGACTTAGTGTTTAGAAGGGGAATCCCCTTCCATTAAGACTTGAGGTGTCAAGTCCTTTTCCGGGGTTACTTCCCTTCTTCTTTTAATGCCACTAGGACCAGCTTGAGAGTCACTGGACTTCTGTCGCACAACATATCTGTCCATAGAGGCCTGTACCTCCCGTTCCTTTATGACTTTCCTAAAGTGGTTCACAACATTGTCAGTGTAATAGTCACCAGCACGGCTTGCAATAGCTGTGTTAGGGTGGTTGTCATCAAAAAAGGTTTGCACTTTAAGCCACATTGCACACATTTCCTTAATCTTTGAAGTAGGCAACTTCTTCAATTTCTCTCTCCCCTTCTCCGAAGCAGTTTCCTCAGGTGTGGCCTCATGCTGATGAAGATGATCTAGCAGCTCATCAGTGGTTAGTTCTTTAAAGTCACTAATAACAAACAGACAAATGAATAAGCACCACCTTCTCTTAGCTGGAGACTTCAACATCAATCTTGGCTTACTAGATGATCAGCCTGTAACTGATTTCATCAACAATATGAACAACACACTTCTCATACCAACAATAACTAAACCAACCAGGCTCACTGAGACAAGTGCAACCATAATAGACCACATATGGACCAATATACTAGCCCCCCTTAAATCAGGGATAATCACAGATAGCACTACAGACCACTACGCTACCTTCCTCCTGACAAACATTAGTAAACCACCACTTGAATACAACAAAGTCTCATTTAGACTCCATGACGAGGCCTCAGTAAGGAAGTTCACAGCTGACCTAGAGACTGTTGATTGGCCTACAGAATTCTCCAAGGCCAATGGTATTGATGACTGGACAGACATCTTTCTTAACAAATTACTTAGACTATACAACAAACATTGTCCTATAAAAACAAAACAGATCACAAACAAACGGCTTGGTTGCCCATGGCTAACCAGCACCATTCTGAAATCCATTGACAAGAAACACCAATATGAAAAGCAATATAGACAGGGCTTAATACACAAAGATATTCTTAAACACTATTCATCAGCTCTCACCAAAGTAATAAAAAAAGCCAAAACAACTATACTACTCCAGTAGATTCACAGACACTAGAGGAGATATAAAAAAGACCTGGAAAACACTCTCTCAGATTCTAGGGACCCACAAACTGAGAAAAAACCAAGAATATTGTCCTAACTAAACCTAATGAAACACCACTACATCCCACTGACACAGCTAACAAGATAAACGACTTCTTCTCAAACATAGGATCTAATCTCGCCAGTAAAATCCCACATACCAATGCCCATGCCGGGGACTACCTAGATGGAAATTTCCCTAATTCCTTCTATCTTGCACCAACTGAGCCCACGGAAGTCATTGAGATCATAAAGTCACTTAAAAATAACTCGGGAATCTGTCTCATGTCCCACCATTACTGTACAAGCGAGCGGCCCATGTCCTTTCGCATGCTATTTCATTACTTTTTAACAAGTCAATAGAGACTAGCACCTTCCCGAAACTACTCAAGATGGCAAGGGTTACACCAATACATAAAGGTGGTGACCCTACAGACTTAAACAACTATAGGCCAATATCTAACTTACCATTGCTATCCAAAATCTTTGAGAAACTTGTGCACAGGAGACTGTATTCATTTATAACGGCTCAAAACATACTCAACCCCTGCCAGTTTGGATTCAGGAAAAATAAAAGCACTAATGATGCAATCATAAAAATGCTTGATCTGCTTTACACAGCACTGGAAAATAAGGAATATCCACTAGGAATTTTTATTGACCTAAGAAAAGCTTTTGACACAGTAAACCACGAAATCCTACTCCACAAACTTGACCACTACGGTATAAGAGGCCATGCGCTTGCTTATTTCAAATCTTACATTACTAATAGGTATCAGTACGTCACCATTAAAGACACAGCATCAGCAACACGGCCACTTGATACTGGAGTTCCGCAGGGAAGTGTCCTTGGTCCCCTGCTCTTCCTCATATACATCAATGACCTACCAAACGTATCCCAACACCTAAAACCCATTCTCTTTGCTGATGACACGACTTATGTCATCTCTCACCCTAATCTTGCACCCTTAACACCATTGTGAATGAGGAGCTGATTAAAATATCGACTTGGATGACAGCCAACAAACTTACGCTTAACACTGACAAAACTTACTATATTATGTTTGGTAGCAGAGCAGGAGATGCACAAATTAACATTAAGATTGACAACACTCTAATTACCAGAAATAATGGGGGAAAATTCTTAGGCTTATACCTTGACAATAACCTGAATTTCAGCACCCATATCCAGCATATAGCCAAAAAAGTATCCAAAACGGTTGGGATCCTCTCCAAGATACGATACTACGTGCCGCAAAATGCCCTTCTCACACTATACCACTCACTTATTTATCCATACCTCACCTATGCTATTTGTGCTTGGGGATCAACAGCAGCAACACACCTAAAGCCAATAATAACCCAACAAAAGCTGCAGTAAGAATAATCACTAAATCCCATCCCTGGCAGCACACCCCCCCACTCTTCAAAGATCTAAACTTACTCCCAGTTCAGTACATCCACACTTACTACTGTGCAATCTATATCTACAGGGCCTTAAACTCTAATATCAACCTTGACCTTAAACGCTTTCTTGATAGTTGTGACAGAACCCACAGGCATAACACCAGAAACAAAACATCTCTACGACATTCCCCGTGTCCGACTAAACCTTTACAAAAATTCAATGTATGTCAAAGGCCCTAAAATCTGGAATACCCTACCTGAGAACTCTAGAAATGCAGACACATTCATCACCTTCAAAACTACCATTAGAAAACATCTTATCTCCCTGATACACCCCGTCAACTAACTTCACGAATACCACCTGGTGGTTCACACTTACACTCGCACACTCATTTGACCATAAACAGAAATATTAATTCAGTCTTAATATAATGAATCCTGTGATACTCCAATACTGAAACTATATACTGTGCCAAAACAAAAGCATTCACACTGCTAAACTCACAAAATAGTATTTAGTCACTTAGCCATAATACCAACTTACCTCATAATTTGTAATATTTTACATTTAAGAATAAAACTAAGTATGCCCGAAATGCCTAGCCATGCTAAGCGTTCTAGTGGTACACTCTGTAATCTCAATTTTACTACATGTTAAACCAAACAATAACCAAATTTCTGTAAACTCAGCATTGTAATCCTTATAGAGAATAAACTTTGAATTTGAATTTGAATTCATTGTCCTCCTCCACCAACTCTTCCACATCATCCCCACTAACCTCCAACCCCAAGGACTTTCCCAATGCCACAATGGATTCCTCAACTGGCATAGGATTCCCAGGGTTAGCCTCAAACCCTTCAAAATCCCTTTGGTCTACACATTCTGGCCACAGTTTCTTCCAAGCAGAGTTCAAGGTCCTCTTAGTCACTCCCTCCCAAGCCTTACCTATAAGGTTTACACAATTGAGGATATTAAAGTGCTCTCTCCAAAACTCTCTTAGAGTCAATTGAGTTTCTGAGGTCACTACAAAGCACCTTTCAAACAGAGCTTTTGTGTACAGTTTTTTGAAGTTTGCAATAACCTGCTGGTCCATGGGCTGCAGGAGAGGAGTGGTATTAGGAGGCAAAAACTTCACCTTAATGAAGCTCATGTCCCCACAAAGTCGCTCTGCCAAGTCTGTAGGATGACCAGGAGCATTGTCTAACACCAGGAGGCACTTAAGGTCTAATTTCTTTTCAGTTAGGTAATTTTTCACAATGGGGGCAAATGCTTGGTGTAACCAGTCATAGAAAAAGTCCCTAGTGACCCATGCCTTACTGTTTGCCCTCCACAGCACACACAAATTAGCCTTGATGATATTCTTTTGCCTGAACGCTCTGGGAGTTTCAGAGTGATACACTAATAAAGGCTTCACTTTGCAATCACCACTAGCATTGGAACACATGAGAAGAGTAAGCCTGTCTTTCATAGGCTTATGTCCTGGGAGTGCCTTTTCCTCCTGAGTAATGTAGGTCCTGCTTGGCATTTTCTTCCAAAACAGGCCTGTTTCATCACAATTAAACACTTGTTCAGGTTTCAGTCCTTCACTCTCTATGTACTCCTTGAATTCCTGCACATATTATTCAGCTGCTTTGTGGTCCGAACTGGCAGCCTCACCATGCCTCACTATGTATGCCACTACGCTTCTTAAATCTCTCAACCCAACCTTTGCTGGCCTTAAATTCACTCACATCATCACTAGTTGCAGGCATTTTTTTAATTAAATCCTCATGCAACTTCCTAGCCTTTTCACTTATGATCACTTGAGAGATGCTATCTCCTGCTATCTGTTTTTCATTTATCCACACCAATAAGAGTCTCTCAACATCTTCTATCACTTGTGATCTCTGTTTCGAAAACACAGTTGAACCTTTGGCAAGAACAGCTTCCTTGATTGGCGTTTTCTTGGACACAATAGTAGCGATGGTTGATTGGGGTTTACTATACAACCTGGCCAGCTCGGAGACACGCACTCCACTTTCATACTTAGCAATGATCTCTTTCTTCATCTCTATAGTAATTCTCACCCTTATTCCTGTAGGGTTGGCACTAGAAGCTTTCTTGGGGCCCATGGTCACTTATTTTGCAGATAAAATCACCAAAAACACTGTAATAATACGAAATGTTCCGATTGTATGCTTGGATGTTACCGCAGAGGCTGGCTGGTAAACAATGCCACCGGCGGAACATGTGAGGCTGGCTCAGGCCGCACATTAGACGCGTCTCGGACGAATAGCGTTGAGCGGGTTTTTTAGTGGTATGCGAGGCAAAATCTTAGCGATAAAATGTATCGGTATGCGGATTTAACGTTATGTGATGCCAATGGTATGCGGGGGTCCACTGTAATTATGTTTAATTTTTTTTTTAATTTCCAGTAAACCTGATGGGTTTTTTAATAGGTTATTAATAAAATTAGTAATTTTTATAGATGATAGTTTAAGGGCAACACTTGGTTTGTCTTACTTTTATATTTAGATTATTTCTAATGACTGCATAACAAGGGGCATTCTACAAGGTACATAGTTTATTCATGTCAGTTACCATAATTTTATAATTTACAGTATGCCACTTTATAGAAATAAAGTTGTTTTTGCAGTTGACTCACAGACCCAAAAATAGTTAACCTTTCATTGTATGAGAGGGCAGAAGACAGGGTAAGTGAATGGAGAGGGTAGAAGAGGTAAAGGTAAGGGAGAGGGTAGGAGGGGAAAAGAAGTGCAATGGGGGAAGGAAATGGAGTGGACAAAAAGAAATGGCAGAGGGAAAGAGGGCAGGAGGATAAGGAGTCTCCCTTATCTCTTCCCTTCACTCTGTTCAGCAGAAGAGAGAAGGCAGGAGGAAAGAAAGAGGAAAGGAGGGAAAGGGAGAGGGCAAAAGAAAGAGAGAGAGAAATATGATTAGGACCAGGCTGGAAGACAAGAGAGAAGTAACAGTTTTTGTTGGCTTGGTCGCTCTGAAGGTTCTGTGACAACAAGACCTGCTGTGTGGTTAAAGCATCATCAATAAAGAATCGCATTATGCTGCATTTATGTGCCTAATTTTTCCATCATGTCAGTATTTTATATCTCTCCACTTGTTTGGCTAGTTGGCTGTTTACCCAAAAAATGTTATATAGCATGTTACGGATCATGTCCAGGAACTCGATGATCCCTATGGGTTTACCACTTCTCCATGAATATTATGATAGTATAGGTCATATTTGATATCAGGTGATGCATTCATTGCAAAGTACTTGGGAAGATGCTTGGCAGTGATCAAGTCTGTAGCCTTGGCAAGAGAAAAAAAATGGAGCTAAAAACTTTGACAAAATAAACTTAGGGTAATCAAATGGGCTTAAGTGAGCAGGTGATTGCAAGGCAAGGAAGAATGGGAAGATGTGTGATTTTATATTTCTGTTGATCTGCCAGTCTTTGTAGGTCAATACAGATACTCCTCACTTAACAATCTACTTGTTTAACAACCATGTAGACTTATGACCAGCTCTCAACCAGTCGGTTGAAGTGTAAGATATTGAAGAATTAGTGGAATATGTCGAGGGTGAGCTAACAAACGATGGTCTAATAGAGTTGGAAGTGCAGCAGCACTTGGAAGAGGAAGGAGAGGAAAGAATGGAAGAAGTACGGAATGGAATTCTGTTGTTAAGTGAGGAGTGCCTGTATGTGTTTCATGTCATATTAATATTTATCATTATGGTGCTTGTAGATATATTAAACTGTGGCATATTGTTTTCAATGTTCTTATGCTACTTTTTTCATAGTATGTACTTGTGCATTGGATATACTGTATGGTTTTGCTGTTTTGCTAGTCTAAAAGACAGTGTTGTAATTCTCAGACGGTTGTGATGATGGCACAATCAGGTGGCAGTGCAAGCCGTCGTGGGGCTCAGGCCCCTCTTCCAGGGGCCCACCCTCACCCTCCTGCCCCTCACTCACATGACCCTGTGCCACTTCCATATCACTGGCATGATAAACAGGTGAGTGCCTTTATGTTTCTTCATTTTTTTTACTCTATATAAATTCAGTAATATTTCAGCTCAAGCAGTAATCCAGTCTTCTTCCTGGTGGTACAAGGATACAAGTCTATATTTAAAGCACTAGAAAAGAAGAAACTGTAACAATTCCCAACTGGGCTAGTATTCATTCCATGTACCTCAACCAGCACTACTTACATTATACTACTCTCTAATCTATCCCTACCTCACCTATGCTATTTGTGCCTGGGAATACTCAACAGCAAATCTAAGGCCAGTATGAATGATCTTGCAGTCTAGTGCAAGGCAACATATTCCCCAATCTTAAAAAGTTTAAACTTACTTAATATACTGTACATAAGAGTCACTCATACTTCTGTGCATACTACATATACAGGACAGTCAATTCTAATATTAATTCTTCCTAAAGCTCTTTACTGATAGCTGCAATAGAGCTCACAGGGATAATACTAGACAAAAATCTCTGTGATATCCACCATGTCTGACTCAACCTGTGTAAACATTCACTACACATAAATAGACTTAAAATCTGCACCTGAAGATTCTAGATGTTCCCTGTCTGCCAACCACTTCAAAGCTAATGTTACCAAGCCTTAGTGTGATCATGACAACGATCACACTAAGGTAATCTTAATGTAGGGTGAGAGGTGAGTAGTACTTATGTGTAGGAAGTCACTGTAGGTAGCTGGTAGATGTAGCCCAAGCAGGCTACATCTACCAGCTACCTACGCTGCAGTCAAGAGCCATATTATTACCATTGATATACCTTGTTCACAGAATTTAATAATTTCTAACTACCTTTAGATGCCATCACAAACGAAGGGAGAAGTAATGAATAATTCATGCCGAGAATTGTAAACAAAAGCGGAGTGTTAAGGGGAGTAACTAGGCCAAATGCAGATTCATACAAGTTTTCTCTGGTGCTGGGCCAGAGAAAACGTAATGTTTTCCCTCCGCCTGGCTATCACACCACCATAGCATATAAACATACCATGTTTATATGCTATGTAACGTGTTTCTTATATAATATTGAAGAAAATATCATAGATGGATTAATGAAAATGTCTTTGTAATGTAAAATAAGACATTTAACCCTTAAACTGTTCAAACGTAGATCTATGTTTTTTCAACATTTGAAAGTATATAAAAAATGTAGATCTTCTTTTTGTTTTTTTACATTTGGAAACGTGTAAGTTTGTGTGACTGACTGAATGACTGACTTACTGAACGACTTGACTGACTTAGTGAATGAATTGAGACTTACTGAATGACTTGACTTACTAAATGACTTGACTGACTTACTGAATGACTTGACTGACTTACTGAGCGACTTGACTGGCTGAATGACTTAAAGTTAGACACTCCAGTACAACCATCAACTTCAGTACCAGAACCTCTACCATCCACCTCAGCCCAGTAGGACCACAGGGTCGCTAAATTTATGAAAAGATAGAGAATCTTTTCCCAATCATAATGACACCAAAAGTATGAAATTTGATGGAAAACTTACGGAATTATGCTCTCGTGAAGTTAGCAGTCTCGATGTTTATGCATCGGCGATTTTGCCCACTTTGAGCCCTATTTTCGGCCAATTCTAGTGTACTAGTTGACAAAAATCATAACTATTTTGCTAGAACTCCATTTTTTCTATCGAATGAGTACAAGAAACCACCCATTTACCAATTTCAACTATCCAAAAAAGTGGTCAGAATTTAGCAATTTTGCCAATTTCACACAAATTTCAAAAGATGCCAATTTCCAAATAGGATCCAGAATAAACAAGAAAGACATTCCTGGCACTAAAATAAGTTCTCTGTTCATTAGTCACATCCCCACGCCCCTCTTATATTTCTTTGGCTTTCCACTTGGAATTTTTATTCTTACAAAAAATAGAAGATTTACTGTTATACAGACTACTGCATTAGTGTAGAAATGGTATAAATAATATCAGCACACTTGTGAAAGAATATTAGACTCACCAGTTGACGTGTATTGGACGCTTGGCATGATTTGTTTACTTTTGAACTTTGGTAAAAATCGAACATTTCTGCTACTTTGAGCTCAATTTCAAGGTACTTTTCATTGTAAAACCAGTCAAAATCATCTCAATTTCTGTAATACGGCTTCCATTCTATAAAATGAGACCAGGAAAACTAGAATATAACAATAAATACCATACAAAAATACAGTGCAAAGTCACTGTTTTAATCTTAAAACACGGTCAAAGTTTTTTTTTTCTCATTACACACTGTGTGCTGCAGGATTTTTTTTATACTGCGCACACTGACCACATAGACCCATTCTTTCATATGTAGGCCTACCAGCTTTCTCTCAGTAGATTTGAGGGTGCTAGAATTTAGGCGTACTAGTACGTCAAAAACCCTGGGGCATAAGCCGTACTAGTACGGCCGAAACCCTAAAAGGGTTAAATGACTGTCTACTGTAGATGTACTGCTGCTGGTATTGTCTGGCTAAATCCACAACTCATGCACCTTGCATGTGTTTATCTATGATTTCATACGTTAATTCCATGGAAATCATTGCCTTTTTCTTTTCAGTACTGTCCTTTGCACTTATTTTCTTAGGACCCATGGTTAGAAAAGCGAAATTTGGCCAAATGACTGTCAAAATTGTAAGCAAAGCAGAAGAGAACTGCTTCAACCACAATGTAAACATGTACGTACTGCCAACTAGCAGCAGCAGTCTGAATTATTATTACATACGTATTATGTACATTGCGTATTATTATTATTATTATTATTAATTTAGGGAACTGAAGCTCTTTTGTTATTATAGTAATTTATTATTATTATTATTAATTTAGGGAACTGAAGCTCTATCGTTATTGCAATAATTATTATTATTATAATTATTGTAATAAAGTTGGTAGAATTACCGACAATATGTAAAGTAAAAGGACACAAGTGCAACTAATGTGACATTTTTATTGTGGCAACGTTTCGCTCTCCAGGAGCTTTATCAAGCCGTTACAAACAGTACATGGACACAGAGGATATATATAGGCTCAGAGTGAGGTGCAATACTAGTGGTAGTAGTAGTAGTAGTAGTGAGATAAGTTGTAGTAGTAGTAGTAGAGAGATAAGTTGTAGTAGTAGTAGTAATACAATATGTAGAACAATTGACTCACACAAGAGTAAAAGAATATAAAAGCTATAACTTGGGTAACATAAAAATAGGTTAGACAAACATTTCTATTGGAGGCTGGATAGAGAAGGTCTGTTTTAATTTAATGTGCTATGTGTATTATTAACAGGAGAGACTATGTGATGGCAGGGTTTACTGTTTTCAGGAGGATTCTTGCTAAGACTTCAGAGATGGTGAAGCTGCCTTTGTTTTGTTTAATTGTATTAGAAACGCTATTTGTGAAGATTCAAGACACTTGCGTTTGTGGAAATTGGTTTCTTTGATCACTAATTGGGCATCCCTGAATTTCATGAGATGATTGGTGGAATTTCGGTGTTGTACACAGGCATTGTTCAAGTTATCGTTCCTACATGCGTAAATGTGTTCATTGAGGCGGGTGTCGAGGTTTCTTGCTGTTTCACCTACATAAATCTTGTCACAGCCTCCACAGGGTATAGTGTAAACCCCTGCGTTGACTGGTACGTGGTGCTTGGATTTTGTTCTGGTTAGATCCTTTATTGAAGCGCTGGAAGCAATGGCGACTCTGGTGTTAGCTTGTGAAAGTACTTTAGAAACATTCAATGCAACCTGGCTGTTGGGAAGAATTATAACTTTGTTAGGAGTGTTGTTGGTGCGTGGAGAATTAATGATCTGAAGAGCTCTTTTCTTGCAGTCTTTGATGAAAAAGGAAGGAAAATGTAAATCAGTGAAGGTTTGATGAATGTATGTACATTCCTCATCAAGAAACTCAGGACTACAAATTCGGTATGCTCTCAGGAAAAATCCGATGATGATGCCTCTTTTGATCCTAGTATCTTTACTGGAATGGAAGTGTGTGAGATCATTTTTATTTGTAGGTTTCTCTATACATGCACTGCTATGTATAATAATCTATGTAACTGTATTTGTGTATATCTGAATAAACTTATTTACTTCTAGTCTGTCAACTGAGTACAAGAAACCGCCAATTCACTTATTTCAACTACCCAATAAAGTGGTCAGAAATTGGCAATTTGGCCAATTTCACACAAATTTCAACAGATGCCAATTTCAAAATAGGGTCCAGAATAAACAATGTAGACATTCCTGGCACTAAAATAACATTTTCTCTGTTCATTAGTCACGGCTACAGGCCCCTCTTATATTACTCTTGCTTACCATTTGGAATTTTTATTCACAAAAAAATAGAAGATTTACTGTTATGCAGACTGCTTCATTATTGTAATAATTGTATAAATAATGTCAACCCATTCTTGACTCCATATTGGAATTTGGACTGGCAGGCAGACAGGTATTGGACGGTGACGTCATTTGTTTACTCTTGAGCTTCGCTACAGAAGAGAACATTTTTGCTACTGTGAGCGCAATTTCAAGGTACTTTTCATCATGAGAGCATTCAAAATCACATCTATTTCTGTAATATATCTTTCATTCTATCAAATGAGACCAAAAAAGTGAGAATATAACCATAAAAAAACCATACAAAAATATACCGCTAAGCGGCTGCTAATGGCTGAGAAGTGAACTCCGCTATTTATGGTCTGATTTCTTTCATTTTTGGTGTACTTTAAGAAGTATCTTTCCATCATACATTGCCCAAGTTTCAATAAGATAACCCAACAAACAACTGAGAAAATAATATAATAATAATAATAATAATACAGTGGACCCCCGGTTAACGAACTTTTTTCATTCCAGTAGTATGTTCAGGTGCCAGTACTGACCGAATTTTTTCCCATAAGGAATATTGTGAAGTAGATTAGTCCATTTCAGACCCCCAAACATACACATACAAACGCACTTACATAAATACACTTACATAATTGGTCGCATTTGGA